GAAAAAAAGAAGATAAAAGTGTAAAATGATGAAGATGAGTGGGTGGAATCATTTTATTCGCTATAATAAACACATCCAAAGAAGAAGCATGAGCAATTATTAAGAACTTATTTTATCATAAATTATTGGTGCATTTAGTATTTTTTATTACTAATTTATATAAAAAATAAAAATTAACTTTAATTTTATCTATCATCAAATTAAAATGTTTCATATAGTATTCATGTTAAAAAAATTATTTTTAAAATTTTTTATATAAATTAATAATAAAAATATACAATAAATATACTTTTAATTAACATATACCTTAAAATTACTAGTTAAAAAATCTTATTAAGTAATTTTTAACATGAAATTCATCTTATATTTCCTCTAAGAAAAAACAGTACAGAGATCAAAAGCTTATTACATCTGTATTCAGGGACAAAGCATGGAATTTATGTTAGAAGGGCGAATTTTAAAGAAAAAATTGACTTATTCATCAATTTATATGGTATAATATCTATCAATTTTTACATCAGTCATTAATTTTATGCATATATCATTTATAATATTTATGTAAAAATTTAAATTAATTAAATATATTTAACTATTTTTAAATAGCATATAATTTAAAATTATTAAAAAATAATATAAAAATACAATTTATTTTCTTTATAAAGTTATGTATATCAAATTAATTTTAAATTTGAAACCTATTTACATAAATAAAATAGATTCAACCATTAGTCTAATAGAATATTAATTATACAAATAAAAATTATATATAACAAATATAATAATATAACTAGGTCTAGAGTTTTTTTTTATATTTGTTCTTATTTAGACAAAATTAGTGTCTTTGTAAGAATTAGTTACAAATAATCTCTTTATCTAGTTATAAATATTTTTTTATACTTAAATAGTCTCTATAATTCAAACTTCAGAAATAAATTTTATAAAAAATAAAAATATATGTACTATATTTAATATTTTTCAAAAGTTTAGAGGGGCAGCTGCCCCCCTTCTCCCATGCTGGCTCCGTCCCTGTCCGCATCATATTCAGCCGCCTGCCTAATCTGCTCTGGAGGCGGGTTGTCCTAAGACTCATCTGCTTCCGCATTAAGTAATAAATGCAAACTAAAATTTAAAATTAAGCATCCAAATTTAAAATAAATAACGTAACATAAATTATATCATTTAAAATATTAAAAGATAAATTTTATATTTTTTAATAATTAATTTTTTAAAATTTTTTTAATATTATAAACATCAACTAATTTAATAATGTGGTATAATTAATCTAAAATTTTCTTCCTCCCTATCATTACTTTTTTTTTTGGTGGAAAAGATAAAATTTGAATTAAAATAAATTTTGGTTTGTAATTTAAAATATATAAATAAAAAACTAACATATAACATTTATAATTAAAATAAAAGCTTTCTAAATTATATTTTAATAACACTTTTTTTTATAAATTTGTGTTTAAAATATAAAAATAACATTAAATTTAATATTATTATTGCATGAATAAATTTAATTAAATAATTTATAAATTAAAAGTCAACTTTTTTTAACATAAGTTTATAGTAAAAAGAATTTTTTACTATGTGCCTTTAGAGAATAAGTTAATGTATATTTATTGTGCCTTTTCATTATTAATTTACGTAAAAAAATAAAAGTAAATTTTAATTTTATTAACTGTTTAATTAAATATTTTTATATGTCATTAGTATTAAAAATAAAGTTCAATTTCATAATTTTTCATGCAATTAATGATAAAAAATACAATAAGTACACCCTTAATTTATGTTCTAAAAATATAAATTAAAAATTCTCATAATAAAAGAATATATTTATTACATTTAACATATTCTTTTATAAAACTCGTATGATTAAAGTACTTAACTTTATCTTCTTTAATATAACAATAAT